AAAAATAGCAGAAAAACAAAAAAAACGAACACCAAGGGGGGGGGGAGGAGAGAAAGAGAAAGCTGGAAGCTGACAAGCAAACAGGGAGAAGCAGGCCAGAGGAGGCAGGCAAGTGCATTCACTGCCATTGACATGAGGGGTGGGGGGAGGCAAGGGGAGCAAGTGACATTGTTTGCATCATAACTTCATAATCATGATGCATTATGTGCTTATGTCATTGTGTGAATGACATCATGGCATATATGATGTTACTTCATTACAGCTTCTATCAGATACCTGCTGCTGTTACTATTGATCCACCTTCCCGTCAAAAAAACCCTACAAGAGGTGGGGAACTTGTGCCTCCCCCTTCCCCTTCAGTTTTGGTGAACTATCACTTTAAGCAATCCTAGGCAGCATGGTCAGCGGAGAGGAATGCTTGGAATTATAAATTCAGCAACTGCTAAAGGGCCATGGGTTTCAAAAGCAATGGTACCAAATTTATAAATGCATCCTAAAATGTATCTCTCTGGTTTTGAGTCCTCAGCAGGGCCATGCAGTGTTTCAGACTGATATCCAAAAGCACACTATTGTAGGATCTTAAAGCAGCCACACACCTTCCAGGAACTGTGCAACTCTAGTTGTGTGATTCTTTTTTTTTTTAAATAATGTATTAAGAATTACAAAAAAAAGAATAGAAACTAATACAAACTACAGAAAATATAAGAATACAAAAAGAAAAATACAAAAAAAGAAAAAATCATAGAAAAGAGAAAAAGAACAAAAAGGAGTAACTTCCCCCTTAATCTCAGCAAGTAAAAACAATTTTAATAGCTTATCACCATCTCTTAATTCAACATATACTCTCCTCACCCCATAACTTAACTAAAAAAACAAAGTCCAAAAGCCTTGTTCATTCTTTTTAAGCAAAACTGTAGTAAGGGAAACCAGATATAACTAATTTTCTATTTTAACCTTGATAGAATAAGCCAATCCTATATTCCTTCCCTGAATTTTTAACAATCTTAATTTTGAACACTTCCAAAATATTCCCATAGTTTTTTTTCTGTCCATCTTCTCTTTAACCCAAAAATCTTTTCAAAACTTTAACAGACCTCTTTTGTACATCCAGTAAGTAAAGTTTGTCCTTTTTTTTTTTATCACTTCTTAAGTCCTTCAAGACTTTTAACAGATCTCTTTTGCAAATCCAGTGAGAAAAAGTTATCCAAATTGCTTTTCTGGTTTAGTAATTGAACATCTCCTTTAATACCCATCAGTTTCGTTTGAAAATCCAGTGCACCTTTCTCCATATTCTTCTCATTGCTTGACAAAATTAAATCCACACTCAAATTAATTTCAGACTTTCCCGTTGCCTCTTGATCATCTTCTGTAACTTTAAAGACCAATATTCAAAAACATCTATTAAAGTTGTTTGCTCCATTCTTATTTCTTTGTTAACAAAATGAATTTATTGTCCTCTGGCTCCCTCTAGTGTCAAACCTTCAAGGTCCCATTATCATATTTCCTCTTAAAAGTACCCAAACAACTGCCATTTCCCATAGGAAGAATTCTTCTAATTAATTGAAAACTGTAATTCCAAGTCCATTTAGACCCTTAATCCTTTTTTAGCTTTCCAAAATCCATATTGTAAGCACCATTTGGCTGTTTAAACAAAAAACATTTTTCCAGAGCTTTTAAAATCACATTTAAAATATCTTTCTCCAAGGAAAAGGCAACTCACCTGATGAATATAGTTAAATCTTGCCAATCTGAAGGGTCTTATATTTCCAGTCCTGTAAAAAAAAAAAAAAAAAAAAATCCAAAAAGTGATTAAGAAACAAGGCTCGGTCAAACTTTGTCCTTAAAAGGCAGCATTACAAGTATGAGCTTGATGTAATCCTGATTCCCAGCCACTCAACTCATAAAACAACTGCAAAACAACAGTTCCTGTGGTCTACTTACGAGGAGTGGCTGTCCGGAATCACATGGGTTATCTCAGTGATCTCTCCTTCCTTCAGAGAGATTTTGCCAGTCTGGATCCAGCATCCAGCCGTTTCCTTGTAAATGTGGTCCCACTGCCAGCAGGACGTCAGCTTGCCATGACGCTCACCGGAAGTCCAATCAGTAGTTGTGTGATCCTGAGAAAAGACACAGCTGCTTTAAATGTTGTAGATAGGCATTACGCTTGCATTCACACACTCAGAAGCACCCTAGCCCTTATTGAATACATGGTTAATTGCAAAATGTTCTATTCAGTTCAGGTAAGGAGGTATCTTCTGCTTCAGTGTGTGCATGCAAACATCAATGCCTGCAGGTTACAGGGCTGAGACTAATGACTAGGAGAACCATGAAATGATTGCAGAACTTAACCACTGAGATATTCCAAAGTATTCAATAGAAAAGAATATATGTAGCTCAGGTTTGAATAGAGCGCTGATGACGTTACCTAGTTGGGTAATGAAATGTCTGCAAGCAAACAACCAAGCTCAGAGAGTACCGAGGTCTCCCCATTCCAAAGTATGCTGAAAGAACTGCCTAGAGGCTGTGAAGAATATGTTATTGCTTTAAAATATACCCTAGCCAAATAGTTTGGGAGCCATTTTTTATTATTAATCAGCTCCATTTTAAATGAATTAAAATTGGCAGTTATTCAGTGAAGGTGGAGATCAGATTCTATAGAAATGGGCAAGAGGTTTTTTTTTCATGTTTATTTGTAATAAAATGTCCTGTAACTAAGGGTCAGATTTATTTAGCCTTGAGTCCAACTATATCTAGAGTCTGTTTCTACTGTGTATTTGAGTGTGAAAATGCATTCCCATTCCAAATACAGTTTGTTTTTTCAAAAAGGCATCTTTCAAATGTACTGTATTTAAATACCCCACAAATATATTTTTCAGGACATAAAACAGACTCATTTGTTGGACTCATGGGCAAAAGATCTTTAAATTCTGGTATGTATAAACTGTAAAATGAAGACTAAACAAAAGCCTCTATCTACAATTTTTATTTTAATTTTACAGCATTTTGAATACACAGCCATCTTACAATATTTAAGACAAAGACAGGTAACCTGAGTCCTCCAGAAGTTGCCAGGGCTCAATTTTTATGAGCCCCAAGTAACATGGGAACAGGAAGGATGGTCTTTGGAGTCCAATAACATTTAGAAGACACAAGTTCCTCTAGGAAATGAGACTGAAAACTGCTCACCTTTCATCACAGATCCTTTCTTCCATGCACTTGCTTTCTTCTTTATAGGCACAATCATTACCATTTTCCCCCTTTCCTGTATGGCCCTTTCTCTGCCTTCAGTACCAATGCATCTGTATAGAGTTAAATCAAATTTTGTGTTAACCAGTATCATTTCCTAGTTTATTATGGTTTAATTTATAAATTTAAAATCTGCTAGTGTATCCAGAAGATGTGTATTTTTGGTAACCTTTTAAAAAACATTCTTAAAACTACTGAAATATTTTGAAAGAAACATTTTCTCTTATTTCCCTAAATAGATCAGGAAGTTTTCAATTCTTTAATGTGTACCCGGTAAACTATTTTCTGAAATTACAGTTGTCAACTGCTTTATATTTCAACCAGCAGTACTCAGAGCTGCAGTATATCAAGGTCATATCTTATTTAGTTTTACAAATTGCTGTGAATCATGAGCAATTAAGGGAATAATTTATCTTAGAAAGATAGCCACTAAATGCTCTTGCATTTGTAAATACCAATGAACAGAATTGAGTCTGAACTGAAATTCAATTTGTATTGTGATCATATGTTTGAAAATACAGAATAATAAATAACCGTGGGTTTATAAATCTTATTTTTTCGAAATTGCTGTAGGTCATAGAACAATAGTTAGACTCCACTAAAATCAGGGGCTAAAGTATTCCAGTCTAAAACATTAAACTCCAGTTTTACCCCATTTTTGTATTCATTGCTTTTCTAACACAGGTGATTTTAAAATCCATACTTCCTGCACAATAAAAGAAATGCACATTTTATTATAATCTGCCAAATTTGTAAAATAATGTTAGAAGAAGCCAGATGAGGGAAAATATATGTCAGCTAATAGAATAAGTTCTCAGCACTATTTCTGTGGACAGTATTCTGTGGTTCCACCGTACTAGCCAACATTTTAAACTAATATCCTGTGCAAAACCATGTTTTCAGTTAACCATGGGCAAGCAAGTTATGCAAACACAATGTGACCTGGATTATGGCCCAGCTTTCAGGTTCCCTGCTAGTATAGATATCAAACATCCAAACTGCTATCACAAGAGACTTTGGAGACTACATTTCTGAAAGGTACCATATGAATATTTGAGATCTCACAAATGCATTCTAAAACAAAGCTACAGATAATATAGGGGTTCCAGCCAACTATGCCCTCTTAAAACTGCTGGGACGTAAGCAAATGAATGGTGTTGTCAAAAAACAGAACCAAAATTCTTAGACACAGAAAATACATTATAAAAATTGCTATCCTACAGACATTCATGTAAAAGAATTCATCAGAATCAGTGGGCTTATTTGAGGAACATCTCTATAAGATTTCACTGTCAGAGACACTACTGTTTTATCAGAGAGGCCAGGGAATGTTCATGTCTTAACATGTGAAAGTGTTTACACTTTCAGTTCCTTTGTCTCATAAGCTGAAGTGGTCACTAACAAATGCATAAGATAATGCTATTGAATATATTGTTACTCGGCTAAAAAACTAGAAATGCGTTACACTGGGAAGTGAAAAAGTGTCTATGAAAGAGACAAAATAGTTAAATCTTAAGATGCCAAGTCCTTTATTTATAGTTATGGAGGTCAGGCTTTTTAGTGTTTGAAAACCAACAAAATGGAAGATCTAGTACTTGCCTCTCTAATTGCCATTAACATAGCCTTCCTCAGGCAAGTATCCTCCAGATGTGTAAACATGAACTCCCAGAATTCTCAAGCTAGCATGGCCATTGCTGAGAATTTTTGGAGTTAAATCCACACATCTGGAGAGAATCCAGATTGGGAAAGACTCTGCTAAGTCAACAGTAATTAGTTGTTAAGGCAGCTCTACGTTTTATCATGGAATTGAAAGGTACTTTGAAAGTCACCTAGTTCAACCACCTGCTCACTGCAGGACACATAATCCATACAGTATAGTTGCCAGATGGTCATGGAAGTTCCTCAAGTGAAAAATTCAGTGTCACCTTATGATGCAACAGTTCTTCACACATCTCCTTGTCATTCTGAGTGATAAAATCTTCAAAGAACTCCACTTTTGTTTGCCTGAATAACACACTGAACTGTTTTCATGATCAGAGAGCTCAAATCACCACAAGCAGAAGCTCTGTGGCAGGGACAGATTACACACCAATATTGAAGGCCCAGATGAGTTAATGAATCCCTGGCCCAGATGAGTTAAAATCCCTGAATAAAGTTTATGTGGCACTCAAACTAGGAGGCCATATTCCAGTTATGGTCTGACCAGCGCAGCTTACATTGGAAATTCAGCACACTGAGCCTTGAGACAAACTTATCATGATATGTAATCACTTATTCATTACATTCAATTAATCTGCACTGTTTTGTTTCCCTGCCAGGATCTTCTGAATGGAGTGAACCACAAATGTTTCAAAGGAGACGCAAATGAGACAGTTCTTCCATTGTCTGTTGAAATGTTTAAGTAGCCAGCTTAGTGTAATATAAAATAGCCATTGTAAGGAATAATTTATTTATGACTTTTTTTTTTAAGATGAAAATTTCAATTACAATGATTTCTTCTATTGTGGCAGTGATATATACATTATACAGACATGGCAAGCTCTACGGTTACATTTCTGTATGGAATATAGAGATCAGTGATGTTTCACAATAAAGCACATTATACATTCTGTGAAAAAATGTTCACCAATTGTAAAAAAAGTGGTAAAGAATAAGGAAAAAAAATCCTTCGTTAATTTAGTATTTGCTTTACCACCAAGTTGATTTGTGATCGTAGCAACAAAAGAAAAAAGAAAAAAAACCCTGTAATTTCTGTAGTCAAAATATGTTTGTATCATTGCAGCATGTTTTTGTTTATTTTGCCTACATATATATATTTTAAAAAAAATGAAAAGTGAATTTAAAAGTCTTTACATCATTGTCTGGTATCTTACCACAATTCACACACTTCAGATAAAAGTAACACTCTGAGGATTTTGGAACACCCATTCTGTGAATGGATATCATTGGTTAAAGCAGAGGAGCACCAAATGTCAAAATTTTCAAAAGAAAAGAAAGGGTTTGTGAGTTTCAGAAGAGAATGACAATTTGAGTACTATCCACTAGTCAGTCCTGCCAGCATTTCTAGCACTGGCTTTTGTAATTTCAGTCAGCAGGTTGAAGAAAGCTGGCCTAGCAAATAAGGAAATGGTGCATGTTTGGTTACTATCTGGCCTTTAACTAGTCCGTGAGCAAATCTGGGCAGCGTGTAGTAGGTTACAAGGAGCTGTGGGCAATTTCTCAAGCTAATACAGTAAGATTTCCAGATTCACAGCTGAAGAACCTTCCTGTACAGCTACAGTACAGCATGAGATAATGCAGCTGCAGAATCTTCTGACTTCTTATGGTTTCCTTGCTTGTTGAGTGCACAGCCAAAGCTCTGCCCCATAAAAACAGATTGGTAAAAAAATGGTGGGGATGAGAACCATGAGGATAAGCTGCAGCTCTTCACCACCACCTCCACCACCAACCTGCATTATATATTCTTTGTATGATATGTGGGCTTCAAAGTTCCAGATGATTTGGTAGAGTTGGGGAGTCCTTTCTTTGCTGCCATCTAGTGCTCATCTGGATTTTGGCAGCCAAGATTTGCTAGTGCATAACCCTTTATGTGATGGCAATCCTGTGATGGAAATATTTTTCTAGGATTCTAGTATGTGAACAAACCAGTGTGAATATAGAGTGAGTTTACCACTTTTGGAACATATAAATATGTAAATCATGCTAAACCATGGTAGAGCTTGTATGGTTCATAGCTTCCCATGTTGTGCCAAGTCAGTCAACTATCATTAAGCAAATCATGGTGTGTGAACTTGCCTTTATATAAGTGCACATTCAATATAAGCAATGAGCAGTTTTGTCAATCCTGAATCTACTGCCAGTCAATTACTACAGTGATTCACAAGTTTTAGTATGATGAGAAACACAGTCTGCATTTCCAATTTTGTGTGAAGGAATGTAGTCCCTGGGATGAGCTACTTTTCCAATAACTTTCCCTTTGAAAAACAAACTTGAAGTTGCATTTTGCAAGCAACTCAGTTTTATCACAGTTCCTATTTTGATCTCTCAAAGTCATGTCCAGGGTTGGGTGGGGAGAGCAAATCACAAAAGCAGCATTGCTCTGTTGTGAAATAAGCTCCACCCCTTTTGTACATGCTTTGTGATATTGCGCACACATGAAACAGGCAGAGTTTGCATTATAACAGCATGTGCTGCTTCCATTTTGACAAACTTTCAATCTCTATGATGCCCCGGTCTCACCTAATATCTGAAATCTTGCTAATCAAACTACATTAAACTCATATCATTCCAGTGTGTTCTTACAGTCTAAAGTGAGTTTATTTTTTTATAGCAAGGACAGGATAAAAGGACTGATAGCATAGTAGAAATGGAAATGAAGATCTGGTTGAGAAGAGAGAAGATGGCGAAGTGGGAGCAGGACATTTAAATCACTTTGTGCTTTAAAGCGGACTCTTCAAAAGCACATGGTTTGATCTGTAAGGTGATCTTGCAAATTATTTTAAAAAGTTTATATACTCTATTCGGATGCCTATAAACTGCAAGCATATAGCCTAGCTAAGAATAGAAAGAAGAACTTATTAACTAACCATCCATACTTGTGCATCTTTGTCCCAGAAATGTTAGGCTTTTATTTCTCTTTTAAAAATGCAGCAGATTCCATGTTTCCTAGACATGAAACCTAATTTGAACAAAAGGACAAAATTAACAAAAATAGTTAAAAGATAAGTAAGGATTTAACAAAAGAGAAATAGGTACCTTATTTTACAAAATTTTCTCCAACTGCAGGTGTGTTTTCTCAAAAAATCAAGCTACACTTACAGCTTTTAGCTGCCTTGATGTTTTCTCTAAGCAGTTAGTGGAAAACTTTGAATGGCTAGGGTTTGCCCCTAATGTTGTTTGGAAAAAGGCTATGGCAGTGTTGTCCAAACATGGCTGGCTGGGGAATTCTGGGAGTTGAAGTCCACTCATTTTAAAGTGGCCAAGTTTGGACAACACTGGGCTATAGTGAGTGCAGCTATGATGCAAAGGGGTGGATAAAATACGTCAGAGGTGTGGGCAGAGCTAGACTTTTCTGTTTCTTTCCTCGAAGTTTGGGAAGGGAGGAGGGCATTTTAAAACTTAGCAAAAACTGCAGGTTTTGTGTTTGTTGCTTCCCTCAGAATTGTGGGAAACCAAACCACTGATTTGAGCAACTGTGTTTGAAAGAGGTTTATGGAGCCAGAAAGAAGGTTTGGAAGCAGGAAGCAGCACTAGAGCCTTAGTTTCTCTCTCTGGTCAGCAGTGCCCTTTCCTCTTTCCAGCTCCTCCCCACACACCAAACTGCCACTTTCTTCTACCACCTGCATAACCTGCTTCCTACTTGCCATCCTCGTTCCTGCCTCTTCAAGGGTGCACAACCTGAAACTCCAGGCTAAATGCAGTGATGTTGCCTACAATAGGCAAAACTGTTCTGATGATAATTTCCATCTGCATGGTTTTCTTAGGAGATGGCATGGCATTTACTCCCAGGAGAAAATAGGTAGGGTTGCAAGCTGAAAGGAACCTTTCCTCCATCCTCATGGAGGGGCCTAGTTTTTTCTCCCCTGAATACCTTGACACTCAGTCCTCCCCATCGTCACTTATCTTTTCTATATGATCCCTGCAGGCTGAACACCCCTTCTCCCTCCTCAAAGTTGCACCTGCCATTTTAATTGACCCCCCATGCAAGACAGACAGACAGACAGACAGACAGACAGACAGACAGACAGACAGATAGATAGATAGATAGATAGATAGATAGATAGATAGATAGATAGATAGATAGATAGATCTCAGCAGTAGACCACTTCTCATGTGCATCCACTCTACAAAGCATAGAGGCAGGGCAAGAGAACAGCAGGCAATCTACACTTCAAGTTCCCATGTGAATGCCAGCTGGAGCCCCATTTCTAAGTGGGAAGAGTAACCATTCTCTTATCATAGCTCTAAATGACTCCAC